AACATCCATCTGAAAGAGCTTGATCTTTAGTGCGCAAGCAATGGAGAGCAGCAATCGGATGTATTCCAGGCGAGCCACTGGAGTGAACGTCTCGTCGTAGTCGATTCCCTCAATTTGGGAATACCCTTGAGCCACTAACCTTGCCTTATTTCGAGCAATATTTCCAGTTGCATCTGTTTTGTTTCGGAAAATCCACTTTGTACCTACAACATTTACGTTATTCGGTTTAGGAATTAGAGTCCATACCTTGTTTCGTTCGAATTGCCCCAATTCTTCTTGCATGGCCTTTATCCAGTGTTCGTCAGTTAGGGCTTCCTTGATGTTCTTTGGTTCAAACTGTGATGTATAGCACGAGTATCCTGCTAGTTCAAGATAGTCGCGTTTTGGTTTTCCTCTAGTTTTCACACCTGAACTGGGATCTCCAATTACATTTTGAATTGGATGATTTTTCTGGATACGAGTTGGAATGTCAATATCGTCATGCTCATTTTCTGATTCTGTCTCGATTTCAGATTCAGATTGATTGCATATGGGTGATGAAGAAGATGACTTATGGTCTGGTTCTGGAGTATCAGAGGCAGGAGTTTTAGGTCGATCAGTTTCAGGTTCTGTCACTGGATCAGACTGAATGACTTCAGTAATCTCACTGGGTTGATCATCAATAACCACGTTTGTGGACTCCATGATAGTTTTGGTCACTTTATTATATACTCGATAGGCTCTGCTGTTGGTGGAGTATCCGAGAAAAATTCCTTCGTCGCTTTTTGGTTCAAATTTAGAAGTAGGATGCCTATCTTTCAGGATAAAACAACGTGAGCCGAAAATATGAAAATAAGTAATGTTTGGTTTCTTACCTTTCCAGAGTTCGTACGGAGTTTGCGTTGTACCCGGACGTAGATAAACTCTGTTGATGATGTGACACGCAGTGTTTACAGCTTCTGCCCAAAATTTTTGAGGTAGTCCTTTGGCGTTGAGCAGAACTCTACCCATCTCCTGGATAGTGCGATTTTTCCTTTCCACAACTCCGTTTTGTTGTGGAGTTTTTGGTGCTGAATACTCATGTGTAATCCCTGATTTGTTACAAAAGTCATTGAAAACATTGTTCTCAAATTCTCTGCCGTGATCGCTTCTGATTTTCCTGATGGATTCGTTTCTTTCCTTTTGAAGTCTTAATCCCAGTGTTTTGAATGCCTCCAGTGCCTCGGATTTTTCCTTGAGAAACATAACCCAAGAAAAACGAGAAAAGTCATCTACACATACTAGTATATATTTCTTACCTCCAACACTTTCTGTCTGAGTTGGTCCAACGAGGTCCATGTGTATCAATTCCAGGCACCGACTTGTGTTTATGGTGTGTTGGGCTGGATGAGCTGATCTGGTTTGTTTCCCAGCTTGGCAGGCACCACATATAGTTGACTCTATTTTCATCTTTGGTAGCCCACGAACTCCTTCGATTTTTACAAGCTTATCGAGAAGTCTATAACTGAGATGCCCCAACTTTTGATGCCACAGCTCAGCTTCATTTATGCTGGACCTGCAACATAACGTATTATTGGTTAAAATATAGCAATTATCAGTTGATCGTTTACCTTCCATGACACATTGATTTGTGTTGTCCATCACACTGCAGCTGTTTTTGGTGAAGCACACGTTCCAGTTTTGGTCACACAATTGACTTATGATAATAAGATTAGTGTGAAGTCCACGGACAAGTAACACTTTGTCCAGTTTGGCAAACCAACTACATTTAAAGTGCCTACGCCAGTTACTTGACCTTTGACACCGTCACCAAAAGTAACTTCACCATTACTAGTGTTGACGTTATTCAGAAATTTTACATTTCCTGTCATGTGACGGGAGCACCCGCTGTCAAAATACCATTTTTCTTCTCGCCCTGCACTTTTAGTATGAAATGAAACAAAAGATATATAATCAACCTTTTTAACCCAAATTTGTTTTGTGAACGGTTGAATGTTCTTTTGCCTGAACTTCTCAATTCTTTGATCCTTGTAGAAATAGTAGCATTCTGGCCTGGTATGTCCGCGTAACCTGCAATAGTGACAAACGGGATTATATAGCTTATACTTCATTTTGTTTGCGTTTACTTTACCATAGGTGCGTTTCACAGCGCTGTATTCAGGGATGTCATCTGGGTCAGGTCTCGATGCTTTGACAAATACAGTCTTATCCTTGGAGTTACTGCCGGTGAAGCCCAACCCAAATTTTGCAGACGTTTTCCTGCCGGAATCAAGAATCTCATCTAATGTGGATGTGGTATCCATCATTTGGATTTGTCGTTTGTAGGTTCTGAGCTCTTGTTTCAAATCCTGAACTTCTCGTTGGAGTTTTGCTTCCCGGTCAGCTGCTTCCTTAAGAAGTACATTACTGGTTTGTACTTCGTTTTGCAGTTTTTCTTCTCAACCTGCTGCTTCTTTAAGCAAATCATTCCTATCAGCTACTTGATTTTGATACACCTTATTTGCATTTGTTACAATCTCTATTTCACTAGCTAGTTTGCAGTTCATTTTTCTTAATGCTTCCCATTTGGGATACAACTTATTAAATTCAGCTTCAAAAGATAACGCATTTTGTTCCACATCTTCTGCAGAGACGTAGTCACCACCTTCTGAATCTTCAACAAGTTCTGAACTGTCAGTAAATAGTGCCGTAAATGCAACAAAATTACCCGAGATTTCTTCGATATCAGACCATGTTGGTTCATAGTCAGGCTCGTCATCGCTCCAGGTAATGGCTGACATAGATTTTTTGCGTCGAAGATAGGTGGCGCATTCAGCTTGTACATGCCCAAATCCCTCGCATTCGTAACACTTGATGCCTTTGTTGTTGGACTTTTCTTTGGATTGTCCAGGACGTGAGACAGACTGTTTGGCATTTGACGTCCCTATCTTAGGTGCAGTTCTGAGTGAAGCTGCTCCCTTTTGTGAACTTCTGTCACGCGTGTTTTTGGATACCTGTTTCAAAATTTTGGAAAACTGTTTAGTCAAGAAGGCAAGTGTATCACTGCTAGATTCATCTGTATCGGATACTGCATTATTTTCTTCAGCGGCAAACGCAATATTTTTTTGTTTTTTCGTATGATCAGTTAAAATCTCCATTTCATATGTTTTAAGATTTCCCATTAGCTGAGTAACGGTCTTTTTCTCCCAACCATCATGCTCTTGGATGGCTGTGACTTTCATTCGGAACCTGGGCGGTAAAGATCTCAATATCTTTTTAACAAGTTTTTCCTGCGAGAATGGTTCACCAAGGACCATTGCTCGATTTGCTAGTTCCTGAACGCGTGTATGAAAGTCGGTGACTGTTTCATCCTCGTTCATGCGCAATTCTTCGAATTCTGACTGGACCAGTTGCAGCTTAGACTGTTTTACCGAGGTCGTTCCTTCGTATGTGGACTCAAGGGCCTCCCAAACACCTTTAGCTGAAGGAATACCTGCAACAATTGAAAACTGACTTTCATGCATAAGAGAGTAAATAGTGTCTAAGGCTTTATCATTGTTTCCTGCATTGGTAATTTCGGTTTGAGTCCACTCAGTTTCTGGTTTAGTGACTTCTGTTCCATCAGCATTGGAGCTAGGTTTAATGGGATGTGTCCATCCTGACACCACAGATCGCCACACAGCTTCACCCTGAGCTTTTAAATGTGTACGGGTGCGAGCCTTCCAATATGCGTAGTTGTCGTCGGTCAATTGAGGAAGGACTTTAGTTCGATCCATTCTGCAAAACTCAGTACCCCGTGAGATCAAACAAATAAGCAATACACAAAAGAATAGAAAGAGCCGCTGAAGAGATAAATTCAAGATGCACGGATTCGCCAGATCGATAGACTAACAGATTAAGTCTACAGGCTCTGATACCAATTGAAAATGTACTGTGATACTTGAAAAATAACCGTTATGTGTTTTTATAAGATAATTGAGTTATGTACCAGTTTAGTTAATTAATTAAACTTGTTTATGCAAGAATAAATAATAACTGCAGAAAGCATAAATAAAATAAAAACACAAGGAAATTGTTACGCAGTTCGGAGCTCCTTCTCCTACATCTGCGGGGCAACCCACGTCTGCCCAATCCACTATAGATGTTCACCAAAGGAGTATTACAAGAGGTAACTGAAAACGGCCTCCAGCCTTTACCACTACCACTCTTTCTAACACCTATCCAGGACTGACACACGAACGCCCGAACAAACTACACAAATTGCTTCAGTAGTACCACGTACTGTTCATGCAGTACAATACAAATATTCTTACGAATTAAATCAGAAAATACATTCAAATTATAAATTACTTTGTAAATATCAGAATAGCTCTCGCAATTGTAATTCTCAAAAATCGGCAATTGCTTCCTTCGAACTGTGTGTATTTATAATCCTTTCATAAGCCTTGTTTGTCTTGATCCACCCATGTAGCCTTTCCCTTAGCAACACACTGTTCGAACAAGCCTCATCCACTCAATTTGAAAAGCTTCTTTGTGGACTTTAAGAATACAAGGAATGATGTCCACTAATTAAGATCTCACGTGGTCCATAATGAAATAGCAACTCTAAATTAATATTAAAACTAACACTAGTAAAATAAAAAAAAAAATTGCCAATATTGTGTAAAAATATTTTACACTTACAAGAACAACATCGGAATTGAAGTTTGTAGTGTCAGGATTAGGTGTGTTTGGTTCGCACATGGGAATCGGAATTGGAATGGTATCAAATACTTGGTAATGGTAATGGGTTTTGGTGAAAGTATTTAACATGTTTGGTAATAGGGTGAAATGAGAATGGTTACTAATAGTAGTGCTTGAGGATGAATAAGGGAATGAAACCCTTATTTTATTTGGATATGAGCTTTTCAATTGATGGGGTATTCGAAACACATAGTAGTGTTCTAAAAACCTATCAACCAAACAATAACAATCACATTCATACCCATTCCTATGGACAAAAACCACATCAACCAAACACACCCTATTATGAGTTGCACAAACTAGCTCCATCATAGCATTCTCATCAATATGAAAGTTTGTCATGTTTAATTGAAATTAATGACAAAAAAGCCAAGCTAAATGTGATTTGGGAATCTGACCCCCAAAAAATGTGATTTGGAAAAACAAAAAAAAAAAAAAAAAAAAAAAAAAAAAAAAAAAAAAAAATGGCTTGTGAACACAATGATAAGAATGGTATGTTTATTCATTCACCATCTATATATAGTACATAAAGTTGTAAAGAAATAATCTTATTTGTTTAATTCATTTATTTAATTTTTTAAAAAAAAGGTACTTGCGTTTAAAAAATGGGTAGAAATTATAATATTTTGTTTACTGCTTATTATGCACTCAAATCAAGAATGTATAATATAAAGAGAATGTGCTGAATATTCCCAGCCCCTCTCCTTCAATTCCTTTCGTCTTCAATACAAAAGCATATATATTATGTATTCTCTTTACAGATGTTAGAAATTATATGTAACATATTTTACTCTAACTTAATTAGTTGGAAGCTTAGGTATAATAATATGTAGTGTGTATATATAAGTAATGTTGGTAAGTGTTTGTTACTTATTAGGAAAAATATAATACTCACTACATAACATTTTGAGTATAATTATAAGTATTACATTTCATACTGATCCAACTCATCTCGCAGACACTCACACAAATATTTCTAGTGGAATTTGTACCCCACACTGTCGCCTTTAGTCATGACATCAAGTCAGGTAACCAACCACTGCAGTACAACAAAGCGGTCTGGAATAATGATTCTTTACTTGCCCCAGGAGTAATCAAGTATAGGCATTTTAGTCCCTTAGCTTCTTATATAGAACACATTTAATCTTTTACTTTGATTCCATGCTCAAGATGTGTCTTACACATAAGAAAGGGAAAACAAGTACATACTAGAAGTAAAGAATTATATTCTCTGATATAAGACATTTAATCCTTTCCACTTCCTTCTTCTCATTATTATAAAATTTGGAGAAAATTATATGCTCTGATTTTCAAAAAAATTTTAAAAAAATTTGCTTCTTATGCACTCAATGTATAATATAGATAGAATAAATAAAGTGTCACAAGAATAAAGTGTAAAAAAAAAAAAAAGAAAAAAAAAACAAAACAAAACAAAACAAAAACTAAGAGCAAAGAACAAAAAACAAAAAAGCAAAGTGAAAATGATGAGGGAATTGGTGTAAAAATGCATTACCAAGATAAATCACTTTTTGTCTTAATTGCACAAATATATTCCACATTCTCGATCTTCAATTCACAACAGTAGAAAATCATTGAATGAAACCATGCATGAATAAGTAAATAGATACACCATGAAACAAATGTATATAGCTCAAGCCACTTGAGTAGTATTTGATTATTCACTTGGTATCTGCCGTGGGCACTCATTTTGCTTTGATTCTTATATTGAATGACGTGCATCGACAACTCTCTAGTGTGGTTATTCGCTTGGCTCAAGTCATGCATTCATATTACTTTGATAGTGCATTCATACAGTGGCGGACTCAGAAATTTTGTTCAGGGGAGGAGAAACATTATAACAAAAGGGATAGCTTAAAACAAATGAAATAGTTAAGAAATTAACCATAAATATTGTTAGATATGAGCGAAAAAAAATATGTATAACAAAATATGAAACATAATTAATTTGATAAAATAATTTTAATAGAAAACACATTTTGTTATCAATAGATAGCTCTATTACATTGTAGTATCTGTTCATATACTTTCTCAACCTACTGAAACACAAAGAGCTAATAACGCTTCCACTGAGGCTCGAACTCACAACCTTCCAAATGAAAGTCCAACCCAGGTACCATTGGACCACATAGTCCTGGTAGTCATAAATATTGTTAGATATGAACGAAAAATAAAAAAAAATATATTTATAACAAAGTATAAAACATAATTAATTTGATAAAATAATTCTAACAGAAAACACATTATAAATTACACATCTTATTATTAATAAAAAATACATTATCTTATTATTAATATAAAATAAAACTATATACATATATTTTGAAAGTATTATAAAGTATATACATATATTTTAAGAGTTTAACTATGTTGAAGTCACTATTATTCAAATTGCCAAAATATATACATTCACACCACGCATATTCTACCATATGGGCTAAGTTCACTTTCATTAACATTGGCTGTTTTCATCTACTTATACTTAAACCTTGTACTATATATACATACATATATACATACAAGGGTTATATATCGGGTGGGGGTGGGGTGAGTGGGGGAAGCTGCCCCCACTGCCCCCACTGTAGGTCCGCCCCTGCATTCATATACAAAATGTCATGCATTTCTATATCGTGATATATCCAACATGTACCAAACTAAGCGTACTAATGCACATCTCACACGCTTACGATGCATAACTCACAACACTAGTTGCACAACCAGTCAACCAACACAAGCGAATGCACAACCATACTATCCAGAATGCATACATATACACCAACATCCAAAATATAAGAAATATTATATATACTCTAAAAACAATCGAAAAGAAAAAAAAACAAAAACAAAAAAAAAAAAAAAAAAACAAAAAACAAAACAAAACAAAACAAAAAATACTGATCACTTTACAGCGATAATCTAAGAAAATAGGAACAAATCTGGTAACATATACTGCAATTACAAATAAATAAATAAATATATATAAATATATATATATATATATATATATATATATATATATATATATATAAAAGACGCTACCACCCCACTTACAAAAAAAAATCAATTAGTTTCAACTTAGAAAATCAAATCTAAGTCATCCAAATAAAAAATTTAAAGTTTTTAAATTTTAAAAATTTAAAAATTTAAAAAAATAAAACAAAAACAAATCAAACAAACAAAAAAACACAAAAGATTAGACCACACATTATCACGAGTGATTCTCATACAAAACAGATTTTATATGTGTGTGCCTGTGTCTTTGTTTGTGTGTGTGTTTAATTTGTGTCTCTCTGTGTGTGTGTATGTGTTAGATTATGATGATGTTAACTCTTTTAAAATTGAGTTTAGAATCCCTAATTTTTATAGTGCATGCATATTTTGTTTTTTATAGGACTGGTGTTAAGGCCGAAATATGACTAGACTTAGTTGCTACATATTAGTTAATTTCAACACATCTACACCTGACAATCCCATGTTTAGTGGATTATTTAACAGTAGAGTTCATCTTTGACAAAAGGCATCCGACAAATCTTATAATAATAGATTCCATCATATCATGATAATTTGTACGAAAAATCTTTCTAGCTGACATGTTTAGAAAATCTTACAACATATCATTCAACATATCTATTAATAGCAGACCTTATAATTTAAGAGTTAAAAGAACTTTCGATAGTTTCTTATTGTTAGTGTTTTATTTATTTAAGAAAAATCCCAACATATAATTTCCAATATTATTATCACAAATTAAGATAGGGTTTAGCTTGGTGTCTGTTTGTCCTTGAAGAAGACTGACTGATCAGTACAATCAATAGACGTACCTCTTGATCAAGTCACCGAAGATCTGATAAAGGAAAGTTTTCTAAAAGCTGGAACGCGGTTATGAGATGATGATTTTGGAAAGAATATCAGCGAATCAGCTTGAGAGGTATGGACCGAATCTTAAGATTTCTTTCTTCACAAAAATTCCTACCATCTACAATCAAAGATATATTTGGAGATTGTCCAAATCAAAGAAGTATATATATTCTTATTCACTCAGAAGTTAGGGTTGCATTGATTGAAGCCGCAATACTCTATACTAAACAGAATACACATCTCTGGTTGTCATGCCTCTTCTCAAGACAATGAGTTCTTGGTGATTATGAAGAAGAACTTGAGAAGTATCAACGTTGCTTAAACGATAGGACGCGAAGATCACTCAGTTGTGGGAACAACGTGGGACTGTGTCATTGAAGCGGACTGCATCAGAGTTAGCTCTCCAATTGAAGGGATTTCATTGGACTTCTGCATGCGTGGCTCTCCAACTTCAACAATCAACTAAACTTTTATAGACTGGATACTGACCTTGTGTGGGGCACTTGGGTGAGATTGTGTTTTTCTATACCTTTGTACATTGGATTAGGAGTTAGTGGATTGGACGCATCGGTGATCGTCCCCCAGATGTAGATACACACTGTATCGAACTGGGTAAACAAACATATGTGTTGATTTACTTTCTGCGTTAGTTTTCCGCTTTACGCTTTATCTGTCGTTCTATCTGAATGACTGCTTAATCGAGAATCTGAGTCAGTCAGACCATTATTCTGTTTGCTAGAAACTAAATCAATATCCAGATTAAGAGAATATGCAAAATTACATGTGGTATCAGAGCTTTTAGGTCTACATAATGACTTGATCCATACGGGAAAAGCTTTTTGTATTTTGTCTCTCTTTAAGAAGTTGTTTGCTTGGTTGTCTGTTGGGTTTTAAACTGCTCTCTACTTGTGTGTTCTGGTTGGTTGTCTGTTTTGATTCAGGATGGATGCAAATATGAAACCACTAGAATTGGATGGTCATAACTATTCCTTCTGGGAGGCTCGAATGGAGATTTATCTTCAAGCTCAAGGCACCAGAGTTTATCGTACTGTCCTCACTGGATGGAGTCCTCCGACAATTCAGAATGTTGATGGAACCGCTGAGATCAAACCAATGGAGACATGAACTGAAGATGAGATGTCGTCCTATGATCTGAATAATAAAGCACTGAATTCTATTGTAGGATCTCTACATGAATCAGACTTTACTTTGGTTACAGGAATAAAAGAGGCAAAACATGTATGGGAAATCTTTGAAACCAGATTTGAGGGTACCAGTGATGTCAAACAGTCAAAGCTTCAGATTGTTCTATCAGAGTTCGAAACTCTCAGGATGACTGAAGAAGAAACTATCTCTAACTTCCAAATTCGTGTTCAGAATTTGATGAACAGAGCATCAGTTCTTGGGGAACCATTTACAGATGAAAGAGTTGTCAAGAAGATCCTTCGTTCTCTACCCAAACGATTCCGAATGAAAGTGACTGCAATTCAGGAAAACACAGGCTAGGAGAAGAAGAGTGTAGGAGAGCTTATGGGGAATCTGCATACTTATGAACTTCAGGTGTTGGCTGATGACGATCCTGTAGTCAGCAGAAAAGGCAAGTCAGTGGCTTTTGTAGCTGAGACTGATCGAGATCAGAATCTGACACAGATGATATAGACGATGAAGCCCTAGCCTTATTAACAAAAAATGTCAAGAAAATACTGAAAGGTTTCAATCGAAGGAGCCAAGGACAGCCTAACAGGACTCAGTACAAAAGTGGAAACTCCTCATATCAGAAATCAAAACCGTCCTCTTTCACAAAGAATAGTCAGTCCCAGACTGGACGAACAGGGCAATTCAGAACCACACATACAGACATAGTTAAAACTTTAAATCGATCAGTGCAGTGTAGGGAGTCTGAAGGGTTTGGACATATACAATCTGAATGTGCAACTTATCTCAAAAGAAAGAAATCTATGTATGTGTCTACCCTAAGTGATGATGAAGAGGAAACAACAGATGACCCGTCTGTTGAAAATGTTGGAAACTTCGTAGCCTTCTTCACAGCAACAGAGGTTCACTCAAAAGCATATGAAACTGATGGTGAATCCTACATATCATCAGATGATTTTGAAGAGTGACATGTTCAGCTACAGATGGAATTTGCCAAACTGGTTGGTAGTTGGGAACAACTAGTGAAAATCAACAAGAATCTGAATGAAGATCCGAAACACCAAGATGAACTACTGAAGAAACTAAATACTGAATTAGTTTTGAAAGAAGACCTTATTGCTCATATCAGATCTCAAGAGGGAAAGCTGATAAAAGAACTGGATGATCTGAAGAAAACTATCAAGATGATGGATACCACTTCAACCTTAGACAAAATTCTAGATTCTGGTCGAAATCCTAACGATAAAAAAAAAAGGCTTGACTTTGAACGTGGACAGTCCTCAATGTCAGCCCCTGTTTTTATCAAAGAAGGGACATCTGGGGGTATTTCAGTTCTCTGTCATAAACGGGGCCAATCATCAAGATCAACTCAGTTCTATCATAAAGGAAGCATGTCTGTCTACTTTGATTACTAAGGCTGAACCTAGCAGAGTCAAAGTTCAGTCTCAACACTCAAAGTTTAAGACTAAGTATGTTAAAGTCAAACAGTATGTACCCATCTGTCACTACTGTCTGACAAAAGGGCACACCAGACCTGAATGCTACTTCTTCTACAGAGATCAAAAGAAGGAAAAATATCGGAATAAGACCATCACTCCTTTCACAATGCAAGTTTGGGTCAGAAAATCAGAAGTAATCATCTATCCCACAATAGTATTGACTGCCTCTATGACTAAAGCAAGATGGTACTTCGACAGTGGTTGTTCCAGACATATGAATGGGAATGCCAAGTGTCTTATGTCTGTTCAACCTAGTAGTGGATCAGTGACATATGGAGACGAACAAAAGGGAAAGATAGTTGGTAAAGGTACTCTAAATGTGTCGGGGCTTCCATATCTTGACGAAGTCCTCTTGGTCAGTGGCCTGAAAGCAAACCCTATTAGCATCAGTCAGCTGTGTGATCAGAATTGGAATGTGTGTTTCAACAGAGACTGCTGTAGGGTCCGTGGTAAGGTAGATCAAGTGGTAATTGAAGGAACTCGCTCTTCTGACAATTGCTATGTCTTAACAAATGATACTACCTATTTTATGTCTAAAGCAGACGAATCAAAACTGTGGCATCGACGTTTGGGACACATAAATTTCAGAGATATGGACAAAGTGATCAAACTTGATGCTGTTCGAGGGATACCAAAGCTTAAAGTAGAACAGGAAAGAGTTTGTGGTGCATGTGCTATTGAAAAACAAATCAGGGCTCCCCACGAAGCAGTAAAAATGATTACTACTGAGAGATGTCTAGAACTGGTTCATATAGACCTTATGGGACAACTCAAATTGAAAGCATTGGAGGAAAGAAATACATTTTTGTGTGTGTTGACGATTTCTCACGGTTCAGTTGGGTATATTTTCTAAGAGAAAAATCTGAGGCTTTTAATGCTTTCAAAACTCTATGCATAAGAATACAAAAAGAAAAAGACGAACCCATTGTAAAAATCCAAAGGCTGAGAAGTGATCATGGAAAGGAGTTTGAGAACACCTTATACTCAGAATTTTGTTCAGAAAATGGGATAACTCATGAATTCTCTGCTCCACGAACAGCACGACAGAATGGGGTTGTGGAAAGGAAGAATCGAACCTTGCAAGAAATGGCAAGAGTAATGCTACATGCCTCACATCTGCCACAACGTTTCTGGGCAGAACCAGTGCATACTGCCTGTCATACAGTCAATAGAGTCTATCTCAGACCTGGTACCTCTCAGACGCCATACGAGATATGGAAAGGAAAAAAACCAAACTTGAAATACTTTCATGTGTTTGGAACCAAGTGCGATGCTCTAATTGGATACTCACCAAACAGTCGAGCATATAAGGTCTACAACAAAAGAACTCAAACAGTCATGGAGTCAGTAAATGTGGTTATTGATGACAATCTAGAAGAATCAAATGAAGCATCTATGACTGATCCTGCGTTAGACGCACTTATCAGTGATCCACCAAAATCGTCTGACAAAGCCAAACTGACCGACACACATGAATCATCAGAAAAAGATGAGGGTAATCCAGAAAAAGACAAATTGCTTTCTAATGGAGATGAAAAAAATAAGCCCACCAGAACTCAGAAAAATCATCCATCAGACAACATAATTGGCAATATTATTATAGAAAATTAAGATAGGGTTTAGCTTGGTGTCTGTTTGTCTTTGAAGAAGACTGACTGATCAGTACAATCAACAGACGTACCTCTTAATCAAGCCACTGAAGATCTGATAAAGGAAAGTTTTCTAAAAGCTGGAACGCGGTTATGAGATGATGATATTGGAAAGAATATCAGTGAATCAGCTTGAGAGGTATGGACCGAATCTTAAGATTTCTTTTTTCACAAAAAGTCCTACCATCTATAATCAGAGATATATTTGGAGAGTGTCCAAATCAAAGAAGTATATATAATCTTATTCGCTCAGAAGTTAGGGTTGCATTGATTGAAGCCACACTCTATACTAAACAGAATACACATCTCTGGTTGTCATGCCTCTTCTCAAGACAATGAGTTCTTGGTGATTATGAAGAAGAACTTGAGAAATATCAACGTTGCTTAAACGATAGGACGCGAAGATCACTCAGTTGTGGGAACAACGTGGGACTGTGTCATTGAAGCGGACTGCATCAGAGTTAGCTCTCCAATTGAAGTGATTTCATTGGACTTCTGCATGCGTGGCTCTCCAACTTCAACAATCCACTAAACCTTTGTAGACTGGGTACTGACCTTGTGTGGAGCACTTAGGTGAGATTGTGTTTTTCTCTACCTTTGTACATTGGATTATGAGTTAGTGGATTGGAAGCATCGGTGATCGTCCCCCAGATGTAGATACACACTGTATCGAACTAGGTAAAAAAACATATGTGTTGATTTACTTTCTGCCTTAGTCTTCCACTTTACACTTTTTCTGTCATTCTATCTGAATGACTGCTTAATCGAGAATCTGAGTCAGTCAGTCCATTATTCAGTTTGCTAGAAACTAAATCAATATCCAGATTAAGAGAATATGCAAAATTACACTTATCATCTTATAACCACTATAATCAAAAGAACTATCTAAGTCAAGTACGGAAAATCCTCTTAAGACAAGAAACAGGGTCGTTCTATTAAAAACATGGGCCATGTCAAATAGTTTAATTTGGACCTTCATTGTTTTTGTTCCAAAATGCAATAATCTAAAGATAATACGTAAACTGCAAAGACAAAGACAATAATAGAGAGACAAGAACATAGGGAGATAGATTTTTTTAATATTTAAATTTCGCTATAATGATAGAGATTTCTATTTATAACGGTAAGAAACATAATCTCAACAAACCTCTGAGACAAAAATCTCTATAAGTGAGGAAATTGAGTGGGAAGAATAAATTAAGTGGCCTTGAGGCTCCTTTTATAGAGGAGCCTCAAGGCCTTTCAGTGTTATCCCACCGATGTGGGATAACACTGAAATACAAAGGGGAGCCAATTTGGCTCCCCTTTGTATTGTGTTTTTTTTTTTCAACAACAAAACTAAAAATAATAATTATAATAACAATAATAATAACAATAATAATAATAATAATAATAATAATAATAATATATTATTATTATTATTATTATTATAATTATAATTTCTTATTATTATTGTAGTTATTGTAACAATGTCCTTATACGTCTTTTTACACCTCAACCGCTAATCTAAACAGCTAATTTTACCAAATGTTTTTTTTTACAAACCGCTAATACAATCCGCTGTTCAAACCCGCTAATACAATCCGCTATCTAATAATCGCTAACACAATCCGCTACCGCTAACCACTAACCGCTGATAACCAAACGAGCCCTATATCTATAAAATGAAGTACTTTCCTTTTGTGGATTTACGGATTCCTCGGTGATTTTTAGAAACCTTGCTTAAACACTCTACTATATTAATTCTGATATTTGTCTTTGAGAACATCACGCTTGGTAGCTCAGTGTCGCTGGAACTGGTTCAGCAACGTCAAGTGGTGAAATCAAGCACGTACAATCCTGAGTAGATGTTAGGAAGGTGTTGTGGTAGAAACGGCTGGTAGCCTTTTGTACTTACATATTGTATAACTCTTTGGTGAACATCTATAGTGGATTGGGCAGACGTGGGTTGCCCCGCAGAAGTAGGAGAAGTGCTCCGAACTGCGTGATCATTTCTATGTGTTCCTGGTTTTTATTTCTTACATTTTAATTCTTTATGTTTATTGTATTAGCATAAACTGACACAATTAAAATGGTACGTTAATTGATTATTTAAAAACCAAGTAGAACTTTAATTCTAAACTTGCATTCAAGAGTCACGACACTTTTTCAATTGGTATTAGAGCCCGGAGACTTAATTTATTAGTCTATCGATCTGGCTATTCCGTGCTTCTTGAACTCAAGCTTTCAGCGGCTTTTATTACTTTTATTCATTATATTACTTTGTTCAATCTCACGGTTTGTTGAGTATTTCAGAATGGATCGTGTTAAGGTTCTTCCCCAGTTAACGGGCGACAACTATGCTTATTGGAAAGCACGCACACGAACGCATATAAAACCTCAAGGAGATGCTGTTTGGCGTTCTGTTGTGATGGGTTGGACTCATCCGACTAAAGTTAGTACGAGTGTTGACGGTCCACAAGTGGCAAAACCTGAAACTGAATGGACCCAAACTGAAATAACTAATGCTGGAAATAATGATAAAGCACTAGATACTATTTACCAACTAATACATGAAAGTCAATTTCCCATAGTTGCAGGTTATGGTTCAGCTAAAGGTGCGTGGGAAGCTCTTGAGTCAACCTACGAGGGCACAAATTCAGTGAAACAATCGAAGCTGCAACTGGTACAGCCTGACTTTGAAGAACTTCGAATGAGTGGAGAAGATAACATCATTAGCTTCCATAGCCAAGTGCAAGAATTGGTGAATCGTGCAATGGTCCTTGGTGAACCTTTTTTCCCAAGCAAAACTAGTAAAGAAAATTCTGAGATCTCTACCGCCCAGGTTCAAGATGAAGGTCACTACCATTCAGGAACATGACGGTTGGGAAAATAAGACTGTTACTCAATTAATGGGAAACCTCTGAACATATCAAATGGAAATCCTTACCAATCACACGAATAAACGAAAAAACTTAGTTTTTGCCGCTGAAGAAAACAATGTTGCCTCTAACTCAGATGAACCAGGTGATGATACTGTTGTGTTTTTAACTAAGCAATTTTCTAAAATCTTGAAACAGGTGTCAAAGAATTCCCGCAACAACAAACCACAAAAATCTATGTAGGCCATTACCTGGAGTGACGACGAACCTGAGACCGACGCAGCTGGATCTGATGCAGAAGAAATTTTCGGTAACTTTGTAGCATTCACTGCTCGTGTTTCAGCGTGTTTAGAACTTGGAGACATAGCCGATTCAGAAGAAGGCGAATATGGCTCCGCGGAAGATTTAGATTTACCTACTTTGTCTTATGAAGTAGAGTTTAATAAACTGTATCCCAAGTAGGAAGCCCTACTAAAAGCTAATCGTCAATTGACTAGTGAGATAAGAATATTAGCCAATGCTTATAAAGTGTACCAAAAATCAAGTAGCTGATAGGGATTTACTGCTTAAAGAGGCGTCTGATCGAGAAGAGAGACTGAAACAAGAGGTACAGACCCTGAAGCAGGAGTTGAGAACCTTCAAAAGACAAATCAAATGATGGACACAACCTCAACACTTTACCAAATACTTGATTCAGGAAGAAAGTCTTTTGTAAAATTTGGTCTGGGTTTCACCGGGGGTACTTCAAAAGATAAAATTGTATTCGTCAAAGCATCAGGACCAGATCCAGTGGACATACCTGAATCTAGCTCACCGAGACAAAATAATGGTATAGTACGGTCAAATAAACAATTTTACAAACTCTATAACCCCTTGTGTCATTATTGCAGGTTGAGTGGCCATATCAGACTTGAATGCTACTACTTTTATAAAGATCAAAGGCGAGAGAAGTTCACCCACAAGCATATTGCACCGTTTGTGAAACAAGTGTGGGTTAAGAAAATTGATTTCGTCTCTCAGGCAATTCCTAAAGAATCTCGAATTGATAATTGGCAAACTGCTGATTAAGAGTTGCAATTAAGAATAACATGTAAAATTCTAATTTTTTTTAAATTGTTTTACCTAATAAAATTTGCTAATGTCTTAGGTAATAATAATTTGAGTTATTCTAAGCTTTTTAATCTTTCAGATTTTTTTCTCTTTACCTGTAAGTTCAATTTTTTTCTGTCTCTAAAGTGTTCATACTTGCTATATCGGTTGATTTGCCTGGATTATTCTTTGCGTTTTGTTTCTGGCTATTTTCTGTGTGTTCACAAAATGTTCTATTTACGTTGTTTTGGGTGCTTTTGAACTGATAATCATGTTTTTGCTTATGTTATCTTGTTGGTGTTTCCTGTGTAAAAATATGGTTGCTTGAATGACAAATTTGTTGCAATTGGATTAATTTTTGTATTTTTTTTGGGTTGCTATGTGTTTTATGTGAATGTGCCTACTGATTTACCTGTTCTAAGAATTGATGTTTGAATTTGAGATTGTTATTCATTATGTGTAATTTCATTTCTTTGTGTTAGTTTTTTGGTCCGGTCATGACCGTATTTGTGTTTGCTTGTGTGCTTATTGTGCTAACTATTATGAATTCTTGCCTAAAGTTGCTTTATATGAATCTGTGATTAAATCTGCTTTATATGAATCTGTGACCAAATCTGCCTTATATGAATCTGTGACTAAATATGCTTTATATGAATCTCTGCCTGAATTTGCTTTACCTGAATGTACTCACTATTATGCTTTATTTGCTTTACATGCTCCAACTTTACTGTTGTGCCTATCTGTGCTTATGTGTCATTTGCTTAGTTGTTATCAAGTTTTGCGTTTTTCATTGCTAATTTTCTTGTGCAGGTTTAGTCCAATCGGGCACACCGTCATACTCAATCCATGAATATAGATGTTCACCTTTGTCACTTAATTGGAAAAGGGGGGGGGGGGGGGGGGGGGAGTATATACAAAGGGGGAGTTGTGGATTTTTTTTGTTGATAAAATTAAGGGGGAGAATTTTGGTGACTGTTGGTACTATATTTTTTGTTGATAATCTCTAATCTCTATTATGAAGTTTTGGAAGAATAGTTTTTATTTAGCTATTCTATCTTTTTATTATTCTTTGAACTATCTGGGTTATTATTAACTGCAATGTATTGGAGTTTTATTTGGTTTCATCAGGACAGATTGTTTTGGAAATTACTACTGCTGATTCTTGGATGGAATATGGTCCAAAAAGAGCTTGGGTAATTACTTATCTTATCTTAGATTATTGTTTAGCACACATACTAAGGACTTTTTAATAGAATTAATTTATTTCTCTTGTTTGCCCAAAGTATAAGATGCTATAGTGTTTTTGCCAAATAAATTGCCAAAGGGGGGGATTGTAAGTGTACAAAGTTAATACACATTAATACCTATGTTGGCTATTTTATTTTATTTTATTTTAAACAGTTTTTAAGTTAAGCTAAGCTCTTTTGAACTATTTCCTATCATATGATATTTAATTGAATGGCTATCAATTATTGGTTACAAGTGAAAGGGAAGTCAGTAGTCTTCTTATTTGGTGGATCCTTATGAGGTTTTCAAATTAAACCTTCTCTATCTTATGGAAGTGTACCTACGGTTAAGATGAAGTCAATATTGGTTACGTGGGAAATGAAGTCAGCATGGGAAGCTATTAGCATGGACACTATGTGTGGTGGAGAGCTTTTTAATATATTTAGAGGTGATGGATGGCTATTATATTAAGGAAAGTGGTTAAAGACTATATCTATAAAAGGAAGTACTTTCCTTTTGTGGATTTACGGATTTCTAAGTGATTTTTTGAAACCTTGCTTAAACATTCTACTATATTAATTTTGATAGGGAAAATGACACTTTTTCCCCTTATGTTATATACTTATAGCACTTTTTCCCCCTCAATTATTTAAGTGGCTCTTTTTTCCCCTAAAATGTTAAATGGACATATTTACCCTTAAAATAAATATTTCATTTATTTTTATTCTCCAATAAATTATTACTATAATTTGGTTCAAACCAGATACTATAGTAACCAAACCAAAATATTCCAATTACAATTTATATTCAAAACGCGATATTTAGAGTTTATTAAAATCGCGAACTGGAATGGCCGGTTCATGTTTCAAACTGAAAAAGTAAAATACATTTATTGTTGAATTTAAACTATTTTAAAATAAAAAATAAAATTTTAAAATAAAGACGGTTCAAAATTGCGAACGGGATCCGGAACCGCCGGTTCATGATCCAGTTTTTTTTTTTTATTCTTAAATTTAATAAATTGAAATCCAAATATTGGGTTCTAGATCTAAATCATAACTGAAAACTTTTAATTCGATTACTATAGTGTCTGGTTCAGTTCGAACCGAACCGTGGTAATCGCTACATATACGCAATAATTTGTTGGAGAAGTAAAATAAATAAAATGTTTACTTTAAGGGTAGAAATGTCAATTTAATATATTAGGGGAAAAAACCACCACTTTTAAAATAATTGAGGGGGCTAATGTGCTTACATAAATAATTGAGGGAGAAAATATGCTATAAGTATATAACATAGTGGGAAAAAGTGTCATTTTCCCATTCTGATATTTGTCTTTGAGAACATATAGCCTGGTAGCTCAGTGTCGCTGGAACTGGTCAGCAACGTCAAGTGGTGAAGTCAAGCACGACATGCACGTACAATCCTGAATAGATATTAGGAAGGTATTGTGGTAGTAACGGCTGGTAGCCTTTTGTACTTACCTATTGTATAACTCCTTGGTGAACATCTATAGTGGATTGGACAGACGTGGGTTGCCCCGCAGACGTAGGAGAAGTGCTCCGAATTGCGTGATCATTTCTTTGTGTTCCTAGTTTTTATTTCTTACCTTTTAATTCTTTACGTTTATCGTATTAGCATAAACTGACACAATTAAAATGATACGTTAATTGATTATTTAAAAACCAAGTAGAACTTTAATTCTAAACTGCATTCAAGACTCACGTCACTTTTTCAGATGAAAAGGTAAGAAAATCATAAGATTCGAAAGATACTAATGAACGTCTTTGTTACAACTACATGAAACTAGAATACTTATCGTTTGTATTTACCTGGTTGAAGAATACAAATCTGAGAAGAAGATTAGAAAGATCGGATCAAAAGTGTTAGGAATATAGCGGAATAATACGGAAGCAAAGAATCAAAAATTGAGAACAACAAGGAATATATGTATGTATGTGTGTGTGTGTGTGTATATATATATATATATATATATATATATATATATATATATATATATATATATATATATATATATATATATATATATTTATTTATTTATTTATTTATTTATTTATTTATTTATTTATTTATATGAATATACGTGAGAGTAGCTAAAAGAGAAAGAAAGAAAGAATTCAATTAAATTGATATTGATGTAATGAGAGATAAATATGGCATGTACATTGACGAAGGGAAAACGTGGCTGCGGATTGAGGAGAGGAACATGTGCGACATGGCCGACATGGATGGTGTTGAGGATGACGCAGTCTCCACAAATTTGAGCCACAAAACACATTAAATTCTAACAATCTCCACCTTAGATCAAATTTATTGTAAAATTAATAACTGGAACAGCCGGCTAAACTCAAGCGCTACTTGAACTTAGTAACAGGAAGAGCTTCAGAATAGCAGGATGGATCACCATCAACCTCCTATGCGACTGAAAGAGCATAAGCAACCAAGTTGGTTTCATCATCACTAGCATACCTAACAGGTTTTTTAATTGTCCTCCAAGGACGATCCATAGCAATGGAATACTCTCGTTGTGGCTCGACGAGAGGTGCGGTGCTTGTAGATACATCATCTTTAGTATTACCATCAGTGGTAGTAATACTGTCAATAGACCTGAACTCAAACTCCACCTTTCCACCAGTACTCTGTGTCTCATCTGTAATGGGAACTTTTACAGAAGAAAGTAGTGCATTTTCATCAAAAGTGATATCTCGACTCAGAATGATTTTTCGAGAATCAGGAGGCCATAGACGATACCCTTTTGACTCAGAAGCATAACCAAGGAAAATGCATTTGACAGCTCTCGGGTTTAATTTACCCGTACTAGAATGAGCATATGCAGGACATCCAAAAACTCTTAAGATAGAGTAGTCAACATAATTACCTGACCAAACAACCTCTGGAATTTTGAAATCAAGGGATGAATGTGGAGATCTATTTACCAAATAGCAAGCAGTAGAGACGGCATCGGCCTAAAAATCGCGTCGTTTCCATAACTCAGCATTAGAGAGCATACAACGAGCTCTTTCCAATAGAGTCCCGTTCATACGTTCGGCAACACCATTCTGATGGGGTTTACCAAGCAAGGACTTGTGCCTGGCAATTCCATTTGCCACACAGAAGTCATTGAAATCTGACTCGCAGAACTCCAAGCCATTGTATGTCCTGAGCTTCTTGGCTTTTTTACCTGTCTGAGTCTCAACAAGTATTTTCCACTTCTTGAAAATAGAAAATGCCTGATTTTTATGTTTCAAGAAATAGACCCAGACCTTACGAGAAAAGTCATCAATAATAGACATAAAATATCTACAGTCTCCCATAGACTGGAATTTAGTTGGTCCCCATAAATCGGAATGTATGTATTCCAATACATCTTTGGTACGGTGTGTACCAGTAGAGAAACTAACCATCTTTTGTTTCCCATAAACACAATGCTCACAAAATTGTAATTTACCTGTACCTGAACCACCAAGGACACCTTTCTTGCTCAGGAGATGCATGTCTTTCTCACTAATATGCCCCAGACGCATATGCCATAATTGAGTGAGATCCGCATCAGACATCGATGAGGATACCGCTACTGAACCTATCACAGTACTGTCGTGCAAGACGTACAAGCTTCTAGAACGAGAAGCTTTCATGAGAACAAGAGAGCCTTTGATGACCTTTAGAACTCCACCTTCAGCTGTGTACTCGCACTCCAGAGATTCCAAGGTGCCCAATGATATCAGATTGCGTTTCAAATCAGGAATATACCGAACATTGGTAAGAGTCTTGATAACATTATCATGAGTTTTAATCTGAACACTTCCAATTCCACTAACCTTGCATTGGGTATCATTACCCAGCAAGACAACTTCACCATCAACCGGTTCCAAAGAGACGAATCAGTCTTTGCGAGGACACATGTGGAATGTATAACCAGAGTCCAGAATCCACTCGGTTTCGCTCTGTTGGCCACCGGAACTAAGAGATAACATAACATTGTCTTCTGAATCACTTTCAACAACACTAGTTTCAACATACTTCTTTTCTCTCCCTTGCTTGTTCTTCAACTTGAAGCATTCAGTCACATCGTGACCCTGCTTCTTGCAGTACTTACAGGATTTGTTGGACTTTCGTCCTTTGGACTTGGATCTAGATTTTTTATTGCTACTCCCTGATTCAAGTGAACGACCCCTTACAGTCAAGCCTTCACCTTTGTCCTCAGACTTAATTTCAAAGTCAAATTTTTCTTTGGACAATAGGTTCGACTTAACATTGTCGAAAGTAAGGGTATCACTACTATTACCATACAGCATAAATTTATTTGAAATGTTTGTATGATTTAAGGAAAGAGACAAGCAACAAAACAACACGATCCTCATCGTCAATTATGACATCAATATTTTCCAAGTCTAATAAAATAGAATTGATTTCATCCAAGTGAGACTTAATAGAAGTACCTTCCGTCATACGGATTGTGTACAGACGCTCCTTCAGGCGTAGCGTGTTCGCCAGAGTTTTTGCAACACCCCCATTTTTCAAAACCTAATTTTCTTTACAATAACTCTTTTTCTCAATTCAAAATGAATTAATACTATAGCGGAAGCATTAACTAACCACAATCAATGGGTGTTACAAATTGGTATCAGAGCAGTTCGAACCTTTGGGAGCCTAGGTTGTGAGAACTTAATTAGTAAAAGCCTAGGTTATAAACTTTAAGAGATATAGAAAATCTAAGTTGAAGTCTATATGTTTCGGGGATGAAACATCCTTTAAGGGGGGTAGAGTGTGACACCCGGTAATTTTAAGCAATAATATAATTTGGAGAAAATTATTTAGTTCACCCTTAAAATATTTTCGTATGTTGCCAAAAGAATTTTTGAAAATTATTCCTAGAAAAATTAAATTGTTATATTTATCTATTATGCCTAAAAGAAAGCCTTATATTATTTTTTTCGTGTATTTATAAATATATATGTAATCTGATAAAAGGTAAACAAAGAGATTAATTGGTGTAGTGGTTTGAGACCTGTTTGTTTAGTTTGAGGTTTTGGCTTCAATTCTTATAAGCTGCAAAATTGTTATTTTGTTTTGATTTCAGCAGAGAAAAGGATTAAGAGTTGTAGGCAACATTTAAAAAAAAAAAAGGGATTGAAATAATAATTGATTAGCTGTTACTATAATTAGCAGAAAGATTATGAGTGATTAGCAATTATAAAAACATAATTGGATGGACTAGGAATGATGATTGAAGTGATTAGCGGTTATATATTCTTTATTATAATGATGATTGATTGATGATTAGCAGATTTATATTATTTATTATTATAAGATAAGATAAGATTATAAGAAAGAAAAGTATTATAAGAATGGGTAGGGGATGAATCGAACGAAGAAAGATTAGGGGAAAAAGAAAGAAAGGGGAAGAAAAGAAAGAAGAAAGAAAGAAGGATACGAGATGGAGATTGTGAGGTTTATGGAATTGCTAGGAATTATCCTTTTGGTAAGATTTCATGTTCATTAAAATTTTATATTTACCTCAAAGTATATATATGTTTTTTTAATGTGTGAATGTGGTTATGATATGATGTTATATATATCAAAGTTATATGATTTCACAAATTATGTGTGATATTATGTGATTATAATATATATTATGTTGACACAAGTACATTTATCGATAAATGGTAACGTTGTGAGTGGTGATTCTCGAAGTATCGAGAATGGATTTCGACGTGTCGAACCCGTGTGTTGTGTAAATGCTTGGCTTGGGATATTTAAAATTTATATATTAAAATAATGATCAAATGTGATCAATTTGCGAAAAAGTGTTATTTTGGACAAGCTACACCATTTATGTATGTGGTGAAATTCTTATTATTATTCCACGTTCATTTTATTAGCAAATAATGTTTGGAAAAGAAATATTTTGACATGAAAGTATATATACATACATATTTTAGTCTTGGAGGAGCGTGATATTTGGTGTTGGTGTGAGCCGAAAAACTCACAACCAACTGATTGGAAATTTGGTCATTCTACCGGAGTGAGCCGGGAGAACTCACAAAAATATTTTTATTATACCGGAGTGAGCCGGAAGAACTCACAAGTTTGGAATTTATCACAGATATGGAAACTGGAGTGAGCCGGTAGAACTCACATTGGAATTCTAAAATTATTTTCATGATTGGCTTATGATGCCTAGCTCTTGGTGGTTAAGTTGAGAGCTTAAAGACTCTACACTTGAAAAAAGGACGTGGAAGGTTTTGAAAAATGATTATTTACTAAGTAACACTTGGACAAACTCTACTATGTTAATTGTACAAAAGTATACATATATTTATTCGTATATGGTTTGTGAAAGTATAAAAATATATAAGTATTTTACTTTGAAAATTATATAAAATCCAAGCCAATTATTTTACGGGGTGAAGTGAAACTTACTTAGCTTACGCTAATTTTTGTCTATTCTTTATCTTTTTGTGTCAAGTAATTTTTACAGGTGAACATGGATAGGAATTCAAGATGAATTCAAGCTAAGAAGGAATTAAGAATAGACCTATTGGAGATTTATTATTTTTGAAGCTTTATGGATGTATATCATTACCCTTTATTGTATCATTATTATAGAAGTTGGATTCGGGTTGATTTTATTCGATGTTGTAATTTTAGCCTTAGCACTTACAGGGCGTTTGGTTGGAGGGGGTTTAAATTCCCTTCCCACTTAATTCCCACTTAATTCCAAAGGCCATAACATTCCTTAGTTTGGTTGGAAGGAATTGCAATTCCCCCATTTTCATGGAATTAAAATCCCATGCCTCCCCCCCCCCCCCCCCCCCCTCCCCTGGTATTTTAATTCCTGGGATTTTAGGAAGAAAAAAAAGCTAGTGATGAGACAAAATTATCCCTCTTTTTTTTAACCTAAAATTAATACCACAACAATAATTGACATTTTGGACTTTATACTACTTATTCTCTTTCAATTCCCATGTATACCAAACATTGGAATTGAAATTCCCAGTAGTTCTATTCCTGTGAACCAAACACTGAAATTTAAATTCCCACTTTATTCTCAGTAATTCATCTCCCATGGAATTGCAATTCCTTTCCCACGTAATTCCCCCTTTCCAACCAAACGCCCTGTTAGGTTGTTGGTTGCCTGAGTGTGGCGGTAACACCCTTTATTTTGGTTAATTAATGCTTCCGCTAGAGTATTATTGAATTTTGAATTGAGAAAAAGAGTTATTGTAAAGAAAATTTGGTTTTGAAAAATGGGGGTGTTACAGTTTTGGCCATGTAAAGCGTATCCATCTTGGACCATAAATCTAACGCAGTCGTCTCACTTACTACCTCACGTAGAACCTCTTTAGACAGGCACAAAAGAATAGTTGAACGTGCCTTGTCATCCAAATCTTTTTAGGCTTCATCTGTCATTGTAGCTGGTTTCTGCTCTTCTCAGCTAGTGTTTTTTTCAAACCGTTTTGGATTAGAACGGCTTCCATATGAACCTTCCAGATAGAGAAGCTAATTTTCTTGTCGAACTTCTCGATATCAAACTTGGTAACAATCGACATCTTTGAAAATAATTCTCAATTAAACTTGGCTCTAATACCACTTGTTAGGAATATAGCAGAATAATACGGAAGCAAAGAATCGAAAATTGAGAACTACAAGGAATATATATATATATATATATATATATATATATATATATATATACACGTGAGAGTAGCTAAAAGAATTCAATTAATTAAATTGAATTTGATGTAATGAGAGATAAATACGGCATGTACATTGAGGAAGGGAAAACGTGGCTGCGGATTGAGGAGAGGAACGTGTGCGACATGGCCGACATGAATGGTGTTGAGGATGACGCAATCTCCACAAATTTGAGCCACAAAACACATTAAATTCTAACAAAAAGAAAGATGGTAAAAAAGAGCAAAAGAAAGTGCATATATATGGTTGAAGAATAAGGAACAGGAGAGCTCACACACTTACAGGATTGGATGAAGCATTAATTGCTTACTATTGGAGAATGAATCTTCTAACTCAATGACAAATTCGGGGATAAGAAAATTTACCACACACAATATAATGCAGAGATTAGCTCCAAATATCTCATGGTAAATGAACAAGAAGATGTAACTTCTACTTTTTCCAGTTACAATTCAAATAATATAATGCTTCTTCTACAACTCGCTGTGATACATTCTTAGTAATGTTGAGAAAATTCAATAGAATCCAAAAGGAGCACGAATCTCAGCTCTAAAATCCAAAAAAAAAAAAAAAAAAAAAAAAAAAAAAAAAAAAAAAAAAAAAAAAACACTTCGAGAGCTTATTGACAAATATGCCTACAACTCCAAGGCAGACCTTGCTAGCAATACAAACTCCTATTTGTGGAGAAAACCGAATTGGATTGTATTGCTTCATTTTCTATGGCACCACAAAACATAAGACTGGTCTTTTAAAAAATATTGTATGGTCTAAATAAGAAAAGGGCATGGTATGGCATTATGTCTACCTTCTTGGTTCAAAAAGTTTTTTGTCAAAAGCATGGTAGACAAAATTTTATTTTGAATTGAAGATGATGGTCATATTCTTCTAATATAAATCTACTTGGACGTCGTCATATTTGGGTCTTTAAATTCAAAGCTCTATAAAATGTTTTCAAATTTCATACAAGCAAATTTAAAATGAGCATAATTAGTGAACTAGTACTTAATTACTCTAAGGGGTGTATTCAATCATGACTTTCATAGAGTTTTAAAGACTTTTATGAACTTTAAAAGTTTGGGGTATTCAATAATATTATTTTTACTTCATTATTACTTGTTTATATTGATTTTTATTTTTTCTATAAATTTTTTATCCCTAACATTCTCTAATTATCCATAAATACATGAACAAAGCAAATCTTTCATCATCAAATTTTAGTATATGTTTCATAATATTCATATAAATATTTATATATTTTGATTTTTATTCTTTTTTATGTTTATATTCGTAATATATATATATATATATATATATATATATATATATATATATATATATATATATATTAACAACAAGTTACCACAATTAGCGAACTACTGTTCGCAACAACAATTTGGAGTCGTAAACCGTAACACCTCGTTGTTGTTTGCAGTCTCAAATTACTATTGCAAATAATAGTTCTTTGCGTGATGCCTAGCAATATATCAAGTATAATTATATATATATATATATATATATATATATATATATATATATATATATATATATATTAAATATTAGATTTTTTTTTATTTTATGAAACTTGTAATTATAATTTTAAATATTTTATTTGATCAATTCTTTTATTATTAATTTTATTATTTAATATTATATTGTTATGAATTTCTAATGAAATAAATTTTTTTTTATGTTTATTAATAATATATATATAAGTAATTAGCATATAAGTCTCAACATACTATGAATAAAAATAATAATGTTGAGAATGTTGATGTGGGTGAAGAACTACATAATAAGATAATTTTATGATATATTATAAATGTTTTGTAAGAAAATTATAAATGATAAGAATCAAAATCATTGAAAGTTTGTAAGGATGTATTCAATTTAGAATTTCAATGATTTTTGTAGACTTTTTAAAATAAAAAGTTGATAAAAGTCTATGAATGTTTTTTATATAGAATTTTATAGAGTCTTATAATGTTTTGAAAAGTTTTGAACGACTCTATGAAAGTCAATCAAAGTTTATTAAAATCTATACTTTTAAAAGTCTTTAAACCTCTACAAAAGTCATGATTGAATACACCCCCCTAAGGAATCATGTGTCACCGCACTCTAAGGGGACGTTTGGTTCATGGAAAATGCCTTAAAGTAGAGGAAAATGTTGTTTTCATGTGTTTGGTTCATGGAATTCATCATTTTCCATTGGAAAATGAATTCCTCAAATTTGAGGAAAACAAAATCCTTGGTTGGACCAAGGATTTTGTTTTCCTTGGAAGATGGGAAGAAAAAGTGAGATGAAATGCCTATTTTACCCTTGTTTACTTTTTTTAATTATACTCCGTATTACTTTTATTAATTTGTAGGGGCATATAGATCTTTATACTCGTTATTCATTACAATTCCAAATCTAACCAAACAATAGAATTAGTATTCCAGTAATTCTTTTTCCACCAACCAAACAATGAAATTCATATTCTTAGAAATTATTTTTCCATGGAATTTCAATTCCACTTCCCTTAAAATATTTTCCGCGAACCAAACGAGCTCTATGAGCAACATTATCAGTTGGAAATATTAGGGGGAAATGTAAGAGTGATTAGGAAAGAGAATGTGAGAGAAGGTTGAGAATAAAAAGAAAGAAAAATAAAAAGTAAAAAGAATGTTGCAAACTGACAAAAATAGGATGCTTCTCTTTCCATCCCTCTCTCATTCATGTCTTGGGAAGAGAAATAGCTCTTCAGGAAGAGCAAAATGTTTCTCTCTCCACCCCCTTCTCCTCCATGTTGGCACTTTTAACCTTAAAAACTGTGAAATATGCACTAATGTAGATGCTCTAAGGCCATCCCCAATAAGGGGACTATGCACAGATTTTAAGAGAAAATTGCCAACATGAAAGGATAATAATGAGGAGAGAGAATGTTAGAGTTGGTACGACAAATGTGGAGATTTTGCAGAAAAAGTGGGACCCACCTATTTTAATAATTTTCGAGAAAAGACACGTGAAGGCCACAAATAGCGCCCAGCGAGCGCGTTAATGACAGTCTTTATTTTTATTTTTATTTTTATTTTTTTATTTTTTCATTTTTCTACCATTTTCTCTTTCCTAATCACACTTACAAAAATTCCTCAAAACCCACACCAAAATCCCTACTAATGAGGATGCCCTAAGAGGGTGTTTGGTAAATACTCCTTATGTCCCATTTTATCTGTCATACTCACTATTCATTAGTCAAACCAACTCTTCTTCTTTTGTTTATTTTCTTTAATATTTTTTACTTATTTTCAAATCTGATTTTTTATTTTTAATAATACTTTTAGTGTAGTTTTTAAATATATAAATTTTATATACTAATACTAAACTTAATATTATGAAAAATTGAATTAAAAATAACTTCAGTCAAGCCTCGTTAATCGAACCAGACACATAAAAATGGGACGGATGGAGTAGTTATTAGTTGATAATTGTTATCTGATTGGATTAGTGAATTTGACTAATTGATAACATTAACTGATAACTAATTACATGCAAAATGACTTTCTCCAAAAACTGATCTATTTTGATCAATTTTTTGAATTTTAACATTTTAGAGCAATAAACTGTTACAAAAAGTTAATTAATCAAACACTTATATTAGTTGTTTGAAATGCACTCAGGTGCGAATGGAGCGCGCAGGTAGGAAATGCGAATGCATGATATCCGTCCACGTGTCCAAATCTAATGGATGAGACACTGATTTTTTTTAAAAACGCGGTGACATTTTCGTAAATAATTGAACATCGAAGTGCAATTAAAATGTATTACAAGTGCATGTAAAATGTATTATACATGCACTTGCAGACAAAAATAGATGCACTTGTAGGTGAAAGTAGGTGCAGCTAACCAAGACAAAAACTACATACACTAGCAAGCGAAAGTAGGTGCACTTATAGGTGGTGCACCCAATCAATGAATATTGACACGTGGTGCGTGTGGATTGGTTCGCATTTCTTTCCTGAGCACTTATTCGCACCTGAAAGCGACCCTTAGTTGTTTAACCAAATCAAATAGTTAATAATGGACAAATAAACCAAAATTGACTGATAAGCTAACTATATTATCAAACATGACCTAAAAAATAAAAAACAAAGCCAAAACAAAGAAAAATAGCATACAAGTTATACATTTAGGAATTGTATGAAACTAAGCGAGCAAAAATATAATGGTCAATACATAATGAATCCCTTGTTTTCTGTCAACAAAATGTATCAAAATTAACACAGATATGGAGACTCGATCAGAGATCAATAACAAGCTAAGAATTACTCAAATTCGAAATCATTAATTGGTAAATTAGTGAATTCGATCTCATGCATTTCTAGCAACAACAAAATTCCAAGTTACGTTGATGAATCTCCTTTCGTGTTCATACATTCAACGTAGCTGGCACCAGTACGTCTGCAGTCGTGAGTGAGTCAGTAATTCATTGGTGTTTGGCATCTGGTGCTGCAAACCTCATTACAGGTTGCTGTTTTCCATCTGGAATGGCAAAGAGAACAATTGGGTCTGTTGTCCTGACAAAGGGAACGTCGCATCTGAAGTAGCCTTTTCTCTCCAACTGCAATATATCACCTCTCTTCAAGTCTCTCATGTTTGCATCCCCAAACGCACAAGTCTCCTTTTTTGTGCAGGGGTTGACAACGTCAACGAAATCTTCATTTTCCTCAAGCTGCAAAAGAGCACATGCACTTGTCAAAGTAACAAGGAAACACACTTTTCTCTCAACTAAAACACTGTTTTGAGGCCACTCACCGTGGCTAAGTTACCCATCCCCAAAATAAAAGGCCACATAGATTACAAAAATTCTACACATTACTGCCATCATCTATACCCAAAGTAAAATCTAGTTCCCAAAAGGTGGAATCATGTATAGCTTAGCACAGGTATTAACTAGTTGAAATATTTTTTTCCCTACGTACTTGTAGCTTATGAAAATGAAGTCTCTTCTCCCAAACCTATACAGAAATTTTCAATAGATTTTTTTTATTTATATCTAAGATAGATTCCGATGGAATGATCTAATAAAAGAATAACTTCACAGCAGAAACATTTAGAAAAATGACGTTTAGTGGCCTCAACTGTCAAAGGTATCACTCAGATTGTCAAGGCAAATGTGAGCAAGTTCAGTAACCAAATCAAAAAGAAACACATGAATAACACCTAGTTATCCGACTATCCCTTGTCTGAAAAAATGTATGTATCATACCTTCTTTTTGGTGATTAAATAGTCAAAATCAACCAAAGAGAGCTTCAAAAGTTCATTTGTATGAGGAAGCCAAGTGAGCTTCAATTTGGTAGTCTTCACAGAGCCTTCAAGATGCAGCACCCCAGTCAAATTTACAACATTCCCCTGCTGATCTTTTTCTATACTCTTCACAATAGCATTACCCCAATCCATTAAAGTGACTTCTTCATCAACAGAAATCAACTCTGCATCGGCATAGTCAATCCAAACTCTTTTCGAGTAAGTGGTTACCTTAACCCCAGCACCTTCATATTTCTTGTGCTTTGGTATGGTACGTGTAAATGGATCTTCTGGGCCATCACTTAAAGTCAATAAGACACGTCTTTCTGCTATCACAGCAGTGTGCCGGGGACACACAGGATCAATTATCTTCTTATTAATAGCCCACAGCTTGTCCCACTCCATGAGATTCAGATTCTTTGAGGCTCCCTAACAATCAGGTACAATCTATATTAAGTTTCAAGACACAAATCTACAATTTGTGATTGTTGTGACGTATCACTTACATGTAATAACAAATTCTAGAGGACATTTACCAGATATACAAAATTATCAAGCATGTATATAGACAGATCGAACAAGTTACTTCATCTGCCTCCCTCCCAAAATTGTTAGGAAGCTAGGGAAAAATAGTTTTGAAAAAAAATAAATAAAAGATAGGCCAACTCAAAACCATATATCATGACAATGGACAACATATAAATTGAGAGTTTCCTTACTGCATTTATGTAAAGTCAATCTAAAGTAGAAATCAGAAGGATATTCTAAGTCTCTTACTTGTTCAAGAATGAACTGTATCAAAGCCTCAATCTTCAGCCCTCTGCGCACAATTCCTTGCACAGTAGGAAATCGTGGATCATCCCACCCTTCGACCAGTCCATTTTTAACAAACCACAGCAGCTTCCGCTTACTAAGAAGTGTATAAACCAGGTTCAGCCGACTGAACTCATATATGTGAACTTTTTGGAACCCCATATCGGTCTGTATCCGGTAGTACTGATCATTGCGATCATGGTACTCACTAGACCTAAGTGCATGTGTAATGCCTTCAGTGGCATCAACAAAGGGACAAGCAAAATCATAAGTAGGGTACAGTTTATATTTGGAACCAATCCTATGGTGTGCAGTGTCATTGCAGCGGTAATATACTGGATCTCTAAGCGACTTGTTAGGATCCTGCATATCCAACTTCCCTCTTAGACAGCACATCTTACCCCTCTCAGAACCAGCAATCATTTCCTTCCATAATGCCAAATTTTCCTCAACAGTGTTGTTCCTACACTTTGATTCTATACCATTCATTCTTTCCTCCTTCATCTGTTCTCGTGGTGTATCATCAACATATGCTTTCCCCTCTAGAATCAATTTTTCAGCCATCTCCATCAACTGAGGAAAGTAGTCTGATGTGTATGTTACAGCTTTGTATTTAATTCCCAAAGTCTCAACATCTTTCAAAAGATTATCCACGAACTCATTACTTTCTTTGTCTGGATTAGTATCATCAAAGCGCAAAATGACATCACCTTTATACCGCTCAGCAAAATACTGGTTTAGAAGTGCAGCTTTAGAGTGACCAATATGAAGAAATCCACTTGGCTCAGGTGCAAACCGCAACCGTACCTTGCCAACCTCAGCATCTGGAAGATCTACCTCAAATGTAGAAGCAGAAGGATTAGCATTTGAAACTTGCTGCTCATTTACTTTGGCTGCTGCCTTTGTGGAGCCCTTTTTCCCTATATATGTTGCGATGACTTCACCAAGAACAGCTTCATATGCTACAAATATTGTGTTGAACCACCTTACCAGATTTTGGTATTTCTTTGATCTTCTAAGACTTTCCCATCTCTGTCCAGCTCCTGCAATGATTGGATTCCTAAATATTGATCCAAGTGAATATAGAGGAGCACTTAAGACTCTAAGATTGTGAAGCTGGTTTAGGTAAGCAAAAAACAGATAACTTGCAATTGATAATGACTATGGGAAAAGAGTAAGGAGCTTCAGAGCTTGGCTGTAGTTCAGATGTTAGCTTGAGCCTTCTGGTGACTAGCTAACCATTCCCCGGTAAAAAGAAACAAAATTGAAAGCAAAGAAGCGGAAAGAGGACTTTAGACTGATCAATCAAGTTGATATAAGGACAAGAAAAATAAATAAATAAAATACATAAATAGAGGCAAGCTCTGATTTCCATGCCTTATATTACACATACATTCCTTTACTTCTAAGCAATCCAACTATATTATCTTAGCATGGCTACCTACGAATTTTGCCAAGACCAGTTTGACTTAGTGCCAAGGCAGGCTGATTTAAAAACGTAAATATAGTACCAGTTTGATCCAGCAATCAGGTAGGTCAGGAAAACACCAATATATTGTTTAAAAATAATTCCTGAACACTATCCATGCATAATGACCGTCAAATAAGTCAAGTGCACACATTTACCTGCAAGACCAGACCAGACAGCAATATCTGCAATTGAAAGACTATTCCCAACCAAAAATGTGTGCTGCATCAGAAATTGGTCCACATAATTGCATGCTCCCTGAAATTCAGAGCCAGATGCAAAAGTAGGGGCATACTCCAGCCATTCATCTATCTATAACAAAAAAAAAAAACAAAACAAAACAAAAAAAAAATAAAACAAAAAAAGGGATGGAAATATTACAACAAAAGCAGAAAGGTAAAGTACACTGCCTGGATACCAAAAACATTATTTTAAAAATTCCTAAATATATTGAATGGAAAAAAAAATTGGATAGTGCACCTGGCTAGACTCAAACGAATCCCGCCGGTATAATCCAGGAGTGCTTGCTACACGGCCAATATACCTTAACAGAACAAAAGTTCCCCGCAACTTTGATCTGTGCATTACACTTAGTTAGCATTGGCATGCAACTAAGAAAAGTTCAAGGGAATTATAGGTCTGTATCATTTATTTATCACTTGCAGGGACCATTGAGCTTAAAGATGTTGGCCCTGTTTGGTAAAAAATTGGCCTATAGGCCAATTTTGGCTTATTTGACCACTATTAATTGTTTGATTTAGTTAAAATATCAACATAAATGTTTGGTTAATTAGCTTTTTGCAACCCCAAAAGGCTAAAATTCAAAAAGCTACTCTAAGCAACTTTTTCAATTAGCTTTTTGAGAAAAGAAATTATACCAAACAGCTATCAGCTAACAGCTAATTTACCAAACACTTTTCTACAATCAGCTAATGTTATCAACTATTTATACCCTTTAATTAACACAATCAGCTAACAACTAACAGCTATCAACTAACAGCCATTTTACCAAACAGGGCCGTTATCTTACCCAAAAGCTATCATAAACCGAATCATGATATGAGACCACAAATATGCCTTTTTTATAGGTAATTGATACCTAAAAAGGCTAAGTGCTCTAATACAGATTTTCAGGTCTATTACTATCACAATTTCATTTATATATATATATATATATATATATATATATATATATATATATATATATATATATATATATATATATATATATATACATATATATAGATATATATATATATATATATATATATAACATGATCACAAGTCCTATGGCAGCACAATAACCTTAGTATCAATAAGTATCATACACAATCCCATCTGAGCATTCACTCACGTAGATTAATAGTCAAGCAACTGGTTTTAGTTATGATTTAATTTCTTTCACCTTAGTTAAGGCTTCACACACTTCGAATTCAAGGAACAAGGATGCTTGCAACAGCTATAATACCATCTTTGATCCCACAACTATTGCGCCATTTCCACTTTCACTTTGATTGCATTTGGTCCCTTGACTTTTACAAATTACAAATTGACCAAATTTCGTCTAAAATGTCTAAAATGGCCACACTTTTACCAAAATTCATACTTCTTCAAATGAGAGCATTCTGGACATTTTGGTGTAAATTTGGTTGATTTGAAAAAGCTGAGAAACCAAAAGTGGTTGAATTAAAAGTCAATAACCAAAAGTGGAAATGTCATTATAGAAGAGACCAAAAATGGTATTAAATCCTTGCAACAGAACAAATAAAACTTAAGAGAACAAACATTCCTTGCAACTTCAATCATTGCATAATAGTTACTTCAGGAAATTGTCTCTATTTCTGTTTTCTAATATTTTAGTTTTCATTCTGTGTGCTCTATTTTCAATTTTCTATTTAGAAAACTTGTTTACTAACACTTATTTAAAAATAAAAATGAAAAAGACTAATTTATAAATTAACACAAGTTTAATTTCAAATGATTATTAGACCTTATATTTAAAATATTTTTGGTTATGTTTAGTTTAATAAATGGAATAGATACAACTTTTACTTTTAAGTTTAATATATGTAAGATTTTTAAATTTCATATCCGAACCAAATTTATATCCGTATATAAGAAAACTTAAAATATGTTTTTATACACACACACACACACACACACACACACACACACACACATATATATATTAAAAGATTTTTATATTTGAAATCCGAACCAAATTTATATCAGTACACACCGAACCAATGATCTATTGAGTTCAATCAAAATCTAAAACATGGTGTACAGTTCAAGTTCTAATTGTGATAATGTGAATATTGTCTAACTTTAAGCGTAAGCAAATAAATTATGTTTATATAAGTAAATGCAAGTACAAAAAAATTGAAGATGTTGATAAGTAAGAGAATATGATAATAAATGTAATCATTGTAATGAATAAATATGTAAGTAGATAATGGCGAGAATATGGTTACAGTGATATATAGCCAAATAGATGATAGAGATTCTATATTCCATTTAGAAAACAATTTTTAAAAATTCACCAGGAAAATCAGTTTTTAAAATGGAAATTGTGCTAGTAAACATGTTTTTTTTTTGTTTTTTATTCTCAAAATATCCCGTTATCCAGAAAACTAGAAAAATTCTCCCATTAGTAAACGGGCCCATAGGTTTTTGCCATTCCATTATCATTAGAGACTAATAAACCTATGAATACTATGTTACATACATAAAGGTATAAACAAAATTATGATATGAGACACAACACCTAAAATATGTTAATATCATAGATTCAGATCTAATATATTTCATTTTGGGTTTTTTAAACTCATGTTCACAAGTCCTATGGTAGAATAACAATCTTTGCTTCATACACAAGTCACTTGCATAGAAGCATAGTCAAGAAATTACTTTTAGTGATGCGCAGTTTATCAAATTTGTACAATGTTAGAAGAAGAAAATTTACAAAATTCGGGATCATTTTATATTATCAATGAAGAATCCATGCACTGAAAATTCTTCGGAAATGAAAGTAACACTCAGTAGTGACCTTGGGAATACCATGGTTTATGTTGGGCTAATATATCAAATCAAGGGTGTAGAAATTTTTATTTCTGGAGTCCAAGCTCTAAAGTTTAAACCCAAAAACTTGACCAGTTTGTCTAATCAATAGCTTGTTCAAGGAAATAACTAATCAAAAAAAGACTAGTTTCAAGGAAACTTATAAATCTTTACTTCTAGGGTACAGTACAGGTTTTTAACAAGAGACAGCCCCTTCCAAGGGAAGAGAGTTCTATGTTGATCCCAAGCCAGCAAGTCCTTACGATATAGGGTGTCTTCATGATACACATACATAATTAGAGTATTAGATTAACTTCTCGGAAATGAAGCAACAAGTACATTGCACAAATCTTTGTTGAAGAAAAAACAAAAAGAGATAATTCCTTCATCATTGTAATTTGTAACCAAGCTCACATGAACAACTAGACATCAATTTACAATCACAAGAAATAGAAAGAGGAACACACAACAGAAAGATTAGTACTTCTTATCATGCAAAATCATAAACATAATGCAAACTAACAGCCATAATTGCTATCTTATCTATTTTAATCAATTTTTATTAGAATATTCAGATATAAATATACAGAAATATGCACAAAAAATTACTCTGAAAAACATGGCATATACTGTCAATAGGTGAATAAGCAGAAGCTGGGTTACCCATTAGGTAGTAGAACTGTGGGTGGAGAACCAGGGCTGAGAGTTGCATCTGCGGAAAAAGCAACACCGGCAATTTTTGCAGCAACAAAGACAGCCAGCGGAGGACTATCAGAGGATAATAGGATTTTGAGTTCCATAGTAGCTGATCACTAGACTGACAAACATGAGTGGAGTTCACAACTTCAGAAAGTTACTAGACAAATTGTAATCTATAACACCAATAATCATTTGAAACTGTGAAGTATAGCCACAAAGAAAATAAAACCCAACAAGAAATAAATAAATAAATAAATAATAAACTTCAGCAGGAGAAAATGATTAATAAAAAACATAAAATGGTCCTACAGCTTCTACGAAATAATACATTTTCAACATGTGCTAGCTAATCCTACAAAAATTAACAAATAAATAAATAATTTGATTGATTTTTTACTTTAGCTCAAAGAATTAACAACTCATACTAAACAACTACGAACAGAAAACCAAAAATCAACTCAAATTTTAGCAGAAAAACATAACTGATCAATTAAACACAAAATATATACGAGTGAATATGAGTCTTGACTCACAGACTGGTGATCAGCAATGGCAGATTCAAAGTGCTATTTCGCGAGGGCGAACTACTAGTTCTTGTTGAGTGATCGCAACTCGCCTGTAGCTCTGCCGACTAGGTGTTCGAGCTCAACGAGCCCGATGAGCGATGGCGGCGCTAGTCCCGGTGGTTTCTTCTTTGAGACTTGCAGTGGCGGGCTAGGGCTTAAAGAAGAGTAAATTCCGGTGTGTATTTTTTACCTTCACTAGATTACTTCTTTTTTCTTTTTTTTTACCATACTTTAACCCAATAAATAAAAATAAAAAATAAAAATAAAAATAAAATTAAAAAAAATATTAAAAAAAAAAACTCTTTCATTGCATTTTTTATACAATATGTTCCAAGCGAGTCGGCTATTAATCCTAAATTTTTAGAATCTCTACTCAAAAATTGCTGAAAGAGGTAAATTACGAGTTCCTAAGCAGCCTCTCAGTCCATCCCTAACTATCGTTGACTCAACGCACAAGGGGATCCACCTCCACACTTCGATCAACTTGGTGAGTCGAATCTCTAACCTGGGGAGTCCAAGGATACAAACTCTAGTCGATGGAGGCATAATTCCAAGATCTTGTTGGTGATTTTAGGTTAAGTGGTCTACCACTTGAACTATCCTCACGGGAAAGTCAATGCATTTTCCATTTACAGGAACTTAAAAGAATACATATATACGGAGTAACATTTTACATAAACTTTAATTGACAAAGATTTTGTTTGGTAGAGTTTATAGCTTATTTTAAGTTACAAGTTTATAGTTAATCTCTTGTGAGACCGTCTTACAGAGTTACAGGTTTAAATCTGTGAAATAGGTCGGATCTAATAACAATGTGTCATAACAAAATTGCATATATAATCAATACTTTAAACTATATAATACAGTAAATAAAAGAGTTAATACCCGATTTGGTCCCTCGACTATTAGGATTTCACCAGTTTGGTCATCGACTTCCAAACTTGCTCAATTTCATCCCCAACTATGCAAATTAAACGTCAACCAAAATGGTCCTCAATCCAAATTGCCGTTTGTTAGACGTCAAAAATGATGATAGAAACGTAATTTCATTTTCTTTGCTGCCCTAGACCGGACCAGAACAACCGGGAGTGAAAGTGAATGAGGCTCCGACAGAGAATACTGTTGCGTGGAATCTTGCCAGGGAGAAGGCTACCGTGGTTACTACTGTTTTGGCTTTTAATTTCTTGGCACTGGTGATATTTTAGAGGCTAGTGTTGCTCAACAAGCCCATGCCTTGGAGGTGGCGGCGACGACGCTCCTTCACGTCACCTGGTTAGGCCATCTACATGTGCTCCACCTAGGGTTTTGAACCCATATAAATAGAACACTATTCCATTGTTTCTCCTGATCCCCTCCATTTTGCTTCTTCACTCCAAGTCTTAGAAATATGCTAGTAGAGATAAGAGAATCACAGTAAGTATATTTACCTTTCATCTTCTCCATTCATTCCATCTTCCAGACTTGTTCATCCATTCTCTGCCTTCCATCTCTGCGGTGTGTTTGAGCCTAGTATGTGTTTATGTTTGTATGAGGAAATAGGTGGTGAAGGTGGGAATCTTTGAAGGAGAAGGAGAGGGATCCACACTAGAGAAGGCCAAGCTCAAGGTATAAACTATGGATTCCCAAAACTACAATTTTTAGTCTGCTAAATGCTAGATTCTTGAGATTAGATATGTAGAAATGTCATAGAATAATTGTTGATGAGTTATTTGTGTGTTGATGATGTTATATGTATGATTTGTGGTTGTCTGGAAGAATTTGTTGAAGGTTTGAGATGTTTTGTTGGAGAAGAAGACCTCTGGTGCACACTGTCTAGTGCACCAAGGTGACCTTGCGGCCCTAGCCAACGGATCTAGGAGAGATCCACTGGATAGGACCGTGGTCCAACGGACCAGGGTGACAAATCTTAGCGAGATCCGTCACTCAAGGCTGCTGCTTGGCGGAGCCAAGTGGCGGGGCTTATCTAGCCCCGTCACAAGCTCCGCCAGGCCAAGTTTTGAGAAGGTCGGCCCCTTTGAGGCTCAGCCCTGTGTTGTTTCGGACCGGGATTCGTGGGCCCTTGAGGCTCGGACACGCGGGCTCGTAACGATGCGCTAGTATGAGTTGTTTCGTTTAATTTCAAGTAGAAGCATGTTTAGCAGAAGCATGAAAGATGAACTCTGTGTTTTTTAGGCTTTGAAATGCATGACAATGAAGTATATGTTTTGCTTCTATTCTCAAGATTGGGTAGTAGCTGTGCTATTTACTTTGTTTAATTCTTGAGTTGTTGATTTGTTGAGTTATTTGAGATTAATTGTTTAAGGCAGTGCATTCCAAGTTTCACAGTAAAATAGCACGTTCATCAATTTCACGATTCATGTATAATCGAGGCAAAGTAAAGCCTAAGTCATATTTCAAAACCTTATATCTATTTTGGAAAATCTATATCTATATGCATTGAGAAATTTGCATGACAATTAGATATCCAATATGAGAAAGAGAAGTTATTTGAGATATATGTGCATTGAGAAGCTTGCATATTAATGAGATCATTTGCTTGAGAATAGTAGTTGCATGTGATATATATACTATTTATAAAGTGAGGAAAATCTATGTTTTGGAGGCCCCCGTTAGGACTATGTCCTTTCGGAATAAAAGAGAAAGAAAGAAGTTTGAGAAAAGAAAGAAACGGTCACAGAGGACCGATAGTTGTTTTAGAAGTAACTTGGTCGATATTTCCGAGTTACTAGGTTGGATACTACCCGCTGGGCTTGGAATCCCAGTTAGGGGGTGTGTACACTGACAAGTACGATACCTGATTCCACAGAGTTTATAAGAACCATGAGTACCGGTTCTGTGGGCGAGATGAGTATTAGGCCGGCTAGATGCCGAGCCCGGATATGTCCATTCGCGATTCGTGAAGTTCCTACCTCGCCCACGAGTTCAGAAAGAAAGCAAGAAAAAAGAAAAAAGATAAAAGTGAGTCAAGAGACTCAGCAGAGATCCTCCGCAGAAAAGTGTTCCTTTTTATATAAAGAACGAAAGTGTATCTATATATTTATAGCATCCTATCCTTACTTGTATAATGATATAGCATATGTTTAATTTAGAGCATTTGAGAAGTACAGTCTTATCGTTGTTTAAGTGTTAGCATGAAAGCATGGTTTTACTTGTTAAGCTTCAGTTGTCTCTTTTTCTATAAGCATGATTGTGAGTAGTGCATAGTAGACTATAGTTGGTTTATATCTGTTTATAGCATGTGAATGCGTTCAAGTATGAGTTATAAGTTAAAGCATGTTTATATGTTTAATAGGTTGCGAGCATATAGAAGTATTTATGTATAACTATTGAGATTCGTTGACTAAGTGTCTAGATTGCTTATATTCATACTTGAGAATGTGTGTGAATGCAAAATATTTTCAAACCTATATCTATAGTACTTTACAGGGTTGAGTGGCTTTATACTTAGCATTAATTGCTAACGGGTTTATTTTCCTACTTGTTTTATAACCCCTTTCAGGTGGACCCAATACTTGAGAGCGCACGAGGATAGTTTAGTGCGTAGCTTTAGTGGTGGTAGGTATAGTTACTAGATCAGTACCTCTTCCTTTAGTAATACTTTTAACTGGTTGTAGTAAACTACCTTTTTGATGGTGTGTAGACACCGGGGTTGTGTCCCCTGTTTTACCGTTTTGTTGAACTTTGACTCTAGATTCTGTAGTTATTTTTGTAGCCTATGCAGTTACCGTGAGTGGTGACATTCCCTTGGCTTATCGTTTTGGATGGTTATTTTAGTTACTTAAGTTATTCCTCGATTTATGTTAATTAAGTTTGTTTATTATCGGGTTTTAGATTTTAGAAAAAGGGGGCGTTACAGGATGCGTAGACGACAGTGCTAAACAAGAGGCGGACATCCTCGAAAATATCGTCCAATCCTAAGGACTCCAAGTTATCTCGGATGGCGGAGGAAAACCAGTCTCTAGGTTCGAAGAAATCATCGTCTTCATATTCGACATGGTCCCAGTTCATCGTTAACGTCCTCCGGCGGCATAGCAATCCAAGTTGGGGACGCTAGGGAAGAAGATGACTATGGGAATTTCATATTTTACCCTTTTAGTTTGACAGTAAAATAGACTAAGGACCATATCAGTTAACGTTTGCATAGTTGGGGATGAATTTGAGCAAGTTTGGAAGTCGATGACCAAAGTGGTGAAATCTTAATAGTCGAGGGACCAAATCGGGTATTAACTCGTAAATAAAGTAATAACATAACATAATTGCAAATATGATAACTCTTTAAGCCATATATATAATAATTTATATTCATTGGTCAAGTGAAGTCTTACTTCCTTGTTCATTTTCTTTATTAGTTTTTTTATTATTTTTAATTTACATTTTTGTGTTTTATAGTACTTTTCAATTTACATGTGGTAGTTTTTTCCTACATGTTTCATGTGTTTTTTCCTATGTGGTCTAATGGTACCCGGGTTGGACTTCCATTTGCAAAGTTACGAGTTCGAGCCTCAGTGGAGGCGTTATTGGTTCTTTGTGTTTCAGTAGGTTGAGAAAGTATATGAACAGATACTACAATGTAATAGGGCTAGTAACATCCAAAAAAGGTTATCATGTGAAAGTATTGAACAAAATAGTAATATTTATTATATTTGTATAAAATACTTGGTAAATAAATAAATAAATAAATAAATAATATATATATATATATATATATATATATATATATATATATATATATATATATATATAAAACATATTTTGTATTATAACTTTGATAGCTTTCAACAAAAAAAATTTATAACTTTGATATTTAATTACAAGATAATGTAAAAATAAGACAATGGACAATGTAGTGAATATAATAAATTAATAAATTTGAAGGTAAGAAATCTTTGAATTGTAGAAAATAAAGATAATATAACTAATGAAATTATATCTATTTTTAAATTTTTTATAATGAATAATTTTTTTAAAGCAAAGGCATTATAGACATCTATTTCTAAATTAATTTTTTTTTTTTGAAAGTTACTGGCTCTATTACATTGTAGTATCTGTTCATATACTTTCTCAACCTACTGAAACACAAAGAACCAATAACGCCTCCACTGAGGCTCGAACTTATAATCTTCCAAATGGAAGTCCAACCCGGATACCATTGGACCACATAGTCTTGGTAATTCTAAATTAATTAAATGCATATGTATTATTTTTTGTTGTAGCTACTAATTTATTTTAATTTAATAAGAGTAATAAAGTGGCGTACATGCTTTTCACCAACAATAATGAAATCATTAATTTTTTTTTTTAATTTCCATTCGTTATTGAGATAAATTATTTTGAGAGTTTGTCAATGACAATTGCTGTCAATTGCTAATAAATAATTTAAAATATATGGTCACAATAGATATTGTAATAATGATATAGTAAAAATTAAATTAACTTACAAATTTCTTTAGAAGTTTTCATGCATTGATAATATTATGATGTGTAAAATTATTTAATTGTGGCCAGTGGGATGGATGTCAACATTGTCAATTCTTTAAAAAATGATCGTACCATTTTAGAGTTCAGGTGTAATTGTATTTATGGCCGACAACTCTGTAGTTAGGTCGGGCAGGTCTGACCATGTTGTAAGAACAATTTTGTCCGATAAAAAAAATAATAGTATAATATTTGTAAAGTAATGTACAATTGTACCATTATAAAAATACATACAAAAAATATTAATACCATAATGACCTAAAAATCATTCCAATAATGCAGAAGCATAATTGAAATATTAAGTTTTGTTCTAAATAATCAAAAGAAGATTAATTAAACGAAAAAAAAAAAAAAAAACCTAATTTTTTTTTAAATGCAAGAAAATCAAATGATTTTTAAAGTTTCTGATTTATAATCTTTGATGCTTAACTTTGAATGCTATGTATTTAGTCGGGCTAATTATTTGACCAAAGTTTATGTTAAATTTTATATTATATATATTTTAATACGTTTTAACATATTCGTAGTATATGTTTAACAATTATGCCAACTCTAATTGGGATGAGGTTCGAACCTAAGACCTTTTTTTTTTTTATAGAAATTAATGAGTAAGTTAAGAATAATAAATAGTTAACGGAATATTCCGTTATTAAAGTTTATACTAACGTAATTTAGGGTTATTATGAATAAAATAATATAATAGAGGGTAAATAAAGAAAATCATTAAATCATTAAATAATACTAAAATCCAAATAATATGAACCATTCATTTTAAGAAACAATTATACCGACATTTTTTTTGTTCCAGTTAAGGACCTAACATTATTGTCTCTTATTAGATTTGTAGATTTGTAGATTAAATTAAATAAATTAGTAGCTACAACAAAAAATAATATATAGGCATTTAATTAATTTAGAATTAGATGTGTATAATGTCTTTATTCAAAAAAAAAAAAATTATGCATTATAAAAAAAATTAAAAGAGATATAATTTCTTTAATTATATTATCTTTGTTTTTTACAATTCATTAATTACCTTCAAATTTATTAATTAATTAGATTCACTACATTGTCCATTGTCTTTTTTTTTTTTTTTTTTTTTTTGCACTGTAATTAAATATCAAAGTTATAATACAAAATATGTTATATATTTATTTATCAAATATTTTATACAAATATAATAAATATTAATATTCTGTTCAATATTTTCACATGATAATTTACGACACACATCTCACAACACATGAAACATTTAAGGTGAAAAACTACTACTACCAAATATCAACAGACGCTTTAAATATAAAGCGTTTATACTACAACTAAGATCACAGTCATATACACAAGACAAATCTAAAATTTCCTACACCATAATCTCATTGCATGACGATGCCCTCTATGCTACCACCATTAACCCAATTGCACATGACATACTATCAATAAAAAAGAAGAGGACGAATACTGAAGATGAAGACAATGACAATGCTACCCAAAAGAGAATTAAAAAGACTTAAAGAAATTTAATCAAAAGTAGTATTTATTTAGACTATCATTTTTAGACTAAGTATTTAGACTAACATTATTACAAAGTTGCAAACATTTTTTTTAATGACAATTATAATCAATCTCTCATATTTTATCTTGCATTTTTATTTTTTGAATTATTGATTTAAATAAATAAATTCGACATTCAATTACCTATGTATGGACATCTCCTATATAATCTTACATTGATATACTTTTTTTGAAAACTTACATTGATATATACTTTAAAAAAAACATTGATATACTTTAAACTACTTATTTAAAAATAATCATGGGACATTATCTCAGTTCAAAAAACTAATAATATATATATATATATATATATATATATATATATATATATATATATATATATATATATATATATATATATATATAAAAGTAAAATTCTCCTATTTCATTTTCCCGCCCAAACTTTTGTAGTCAAATTAATTAAATATTTTATATTTTATTTGTCAAATACTTAATAAAGCTTATTTGGTAAGCAAATGAAAAATGGAAATTTATTAACATCAATATTATGAATTAATTAGGAATATTAATATAATGAATTGATTAGGAATATCAATATAATGAATTGATTAGGGCAATACCTTAAATAAATAAATACACTTTCTTTTTGAAAAATTTTACAAATTTATAATTCTCATATTTTTCACCTATAAATACAATGAGTTGATGACTACAAAAATTATATGTCTTCATTTTATATTGCATCCCTTTTTTCCCACTAGGTCTTCAGCCTTAATCATTCGGTTTAGCCGCGTTTTGAAATTAACGGTAGGTTTAGCATCCATGTAGTTTGATTGGATTGGATACAATACGTTTTTCATGGTTGTGTTGTCCAAATTTAATACTTTTTTCAGCAAAAAGTTATTCATATCATATGTCTAGATTATGATTTATTCTGAATATTTCTACGGTTACTCCAAGTCCATTTCATATATTGATTTTTTGCTTCTATTGAAGTTTCATTATCATTGATGAAAGGCAGCCTCATGTGAATCTCGCTTTGAGTGGTGCCTACTCCTGCCCGTTTAAAGGGATGCTGAGTGCTCACTCCTCTAATCTCTCTATTCATTTTTTTGCTATACTGTCATTGGTCAAGAATTTAATTTGCCACACAATAAAATGTGTGACTCACGGGTGATTGGAGAATGGGGAGTGGTTAAGTGTTTCTGTTGTAATATACACAACAAGATATAGCAGGAATCGCCTTTAATACACCAATTGACTATTATTATATTCTTCTTAGTTCTTTGCGTTGATTATTGAAGTAATCGGACTTCTGAAGTTCTGATTTGTTAAGTTATTGTATTCTCATGGTACCGGTTTTGACAGTTATGAAGTCCATGCTCAATTCCTCATTGTATAAGTCAAAAGTTTATTTTTTTTGGCGTAATTATGGGA